TATGGTAAAAGTCATGGACAGGTCACGGCCCATGAATTTTTGTTTATAGCCTGTGGCCTGTCCATGACTTTTATTAAAAATACCCATGACTAAATCTTAGCCTTACGCATAAGCAGGATCATCTCCCTGAGGCTGGTTTCCACAGCATGGTCACGTGAAGGATGGGTATTTGGGCCATTTTCCAACCACTTTTAAATGGTCTTTCTAGACCCAGGTATGATGTGGGTGGGCTTCAACCACCACATCCAAAGCAGCAGGTCTCGGCTATTCCTGGAGGTGGGATGCCAGATTAGATAAGAATAGCCCCTTCCATCCAAGGATCCCAAAAGGTGTTACAGACATTAATGAGTTATGCCTCACCTCTCCCAAATATGGTTTGCATATTACCTTCATTTTACAGATAGAAAAACTGAGGCACAAAGAGGTCAAGTGACTTGCCCAAGGCCATACAGCAATTTGGTAGCAAAGCCGTGGCCAGAACCCCAAAGTCCCAACTCCCAGCCCTGTGCTATACCCACAACATCGCACTTCCAGATGGATCTATGGCTGATTGGATCTCTGATCAATCATTCTGACCTCTGAGGCAAAACGGTTAGATTATACTGACGGTTGGCTGGCATTTCTGCCTTTGCAAGGTGACTAGTTCATTCCCAAACCTTGTGTCCCACCCAGCAGCCACAACCAGTGCAAGCTGGTATGGGTCAGCCTGTCTCACAGTCACACAAATGACCAGACAGGAACAGACCCAGCCAGCCTGGCCTCTTCCTGCATTTTCCATTGCTTTCTATAGGAGCCAACAGCTTTCATTAAAAAAGTACCCACCTCCCATTCCCATCTCCTTCCATGGCGGGGCCAGTCCTGTGAATCAGGGAACAGTCTATAGTTTAGACTGGACTTTCTCTGCCCTGTGCTGCTTGCTCCAACCCGCTCCCTCCCCTTAGCTTCACACCACACCTGCCCCTCTTACCCTCTTTTCCCCTGCTCTGTCCTTTTCACCCCCTTCCCTTCCTTTTTCTTTCCATTTAGCTGATCCCCTCCTAAGTTCCCCCCACCATGGAATTAACATGCCATTTACTGCCATCACATGGTTCACTCTGCTTGTGTGTTCTGCTCGTTCGCCCACCTGTCTGTTGTGTCTGCTTAGTCTGTAAACCGCTCAGAACAGGGACAGTCTGCTACTCTGTTTCTAGAGCACCTCGCACAATGGGGCCCCCCTGTTCTTGGCTGGCCCTTAGGCACTAGCATAATAAACATGATAAATAATAAAAAGAACGAGGAGTACTCGTGACACCTTAGAGACTAACAAATTTATTTGAGCATAAGCTTTCATGGGCTAAAACCCAAAGCTTATGCTCAAATAAATTTGTTAGTCTCTAAGGTGCCACAAGTCCTCCTCGTTCTTTTTGCTAATACAGACTAACACGGCTGCCACTCTGAATGATAAATAATAATGTTCATGACCTATTCACCCAGCCTCGCTCTAGCTAAGTTATAGCTGGATCTACAGCCATCTCTAGCCCCTATCGCTCTAACAAGGCGCTAATGTCAAAGGCTCCCTGGGTACATTTAAATGCAGATTTGACAAACACAGTCTGGTCAAGGGGAAAAGCCACCCCTTGCACAGAGCTGTGACTTGCTCGGGGCCCCACAGGGATTTGGCAGAGTCCTGGTTTCCTGTTTTAAGCCCTAGACACCAGAGCCTCCCCAGACCTTAACTACGGATACAGATTGCTGCACCAGTTGCATATTACAGGCTGCTGTGGTGCTCCTGTCCCCAAAATCTAAGGTGATACCTTAGCCATGGGACTACAGATGCCCTTTGAGCCAAGATCGGCACTTCCATCTTCCACACTGCTGCCTGACGGTGCATCAATTGAATTGATTCATTTAGGGTATATTCCTTATTTCATTTGACTTCCCGCTGATTATATCTATGGAGTAGAAATATAACTTGGTGGGAAAATCCTACAGAACATGCCTATTGGGTGTGTCAGCAATCTGATTTGCAGGGTTGGAAGAAACATAGAAAATCCTGTTCAGGTTTTGGTCCCAAGCCTGTAGAATTCAGAAGAATATTAACCCTGATTTGAACACCAGGTCATCATCTCTTTTTAACCTTTCTGCAGGTGGCCTTGTAAATGGGGAAGTCATTGAGTCATTGCAAGTCTGACAACAATACCACGTTAACAACTATTTATACAGATCATTTCACATTCAGTGCAAGGTCCTATTGCCAAGACTTAAAAAGTATATAAATTAAGGACCCGATCCTGCAATCATTATTATATGTATATTACTGAGCAATTATTAAAATAGACAGACATAAATTAGGAACTTTGGACAGGTTTCAGAGTAACAGCCGTGTTAGTCTGTATTCGCAAAAAGAAAAGGAGTACTTGTGGCACCTTAGAGACTAACCAATTTATTTGAGCATGAGCTTTCGTGAGCTACAGCTCACTTCATCGGATGCATACCGTGGAAACTGCAGCAGACTTTATATACACACAGAGAATATGAAACAATACCTCCTCCCACCCCACTGTCCTGCTGGTAATAGCTTATCTAAAGTGATCATCAGGTTGGGCCATTTCCAGCACAAATCCAGGTTTTCTCACCCTCCACCCCCCCACACAAATTCACTCTCCATTCAGGTTTCAGAGGAACAGCCGTGTTAGTCTGTATTCGCAAAAAGAAAAGGAGTACTTGTGGCACCTTAGAGACTAACCAATTTATTCATTCACTCCATTCACTCACTCACTGAATGTCCTTGGGGAAAGTCACCTTAAACTTTTGTGTCTCTGTTTCCCAGCTGTAAAATATGGATAATGATACTTACCTTCCTTGGTAAAGTGCTTTGAGAACTCCATATAGGAGTTTTCCATATAGGAGCTCAATAATACTACACAAACAAAGTTTTCCTCAATCATTTCCTTAGGGGAATTGAAAGAAAAGGGAGGAGAGAAAAAAAGACATGAGAGTAAGAAGAGTACACATATAATCCTCGCAAGCCCACAAAAGAACCTAGTTCTAGCTCATCTATCTAAGCCACTATTACCATAATGTCTGGGCACCTCGCAGTCTTTACTGTATTTATCCTAGCAACAGCCCTCTGAGATAGGCAAGTGCTATTGTGTTAGGTATTACCCTATTATGACACAGAGGGACTAAGATACTTTTCCAAAGTCTATGGCAGGGCAGGCAATGAAACTGAGGACTCCGGACTCCTAGGCTAATGCCCTAACCAATGGACCATCCTTCTTCCCTGGTACAATATCTTGCTCCCATTTACGCAGGATCCTTTCCATATTTCCTAGCTTGTTCCTCTTCTTCACCTGGTAGTTGTAGCAAGTTCAGTTCCTGTGCCTTTTTTAAGCAACCAGTGATGCTTTAACAACATAGGGGACATGCCAGGAGCAACCCAGGATAGGCAAGGATGCTGAAGCCCTGATCATGCCCTAAGAGACATTTGGTAGTGCAGAGTGATCCTCTTGGGGGGAGAATTTTTTTTTCCTGAGCAGCAGATAAATCCCTTAGCTCCCTATCAACAGCAAAAGAAAATGGACAAAGAACCATGAGGAAAATCAGAACCCAAAAAATTAAACCAAACCAGTCACTAAAACTTTCATCCACCCAGTGACCCCACAGCATGCCTCTGAGGGAGACACATAGCTCCATTTGCATTGACGTCAATGCAGTTTTTGCCTGAGACGGGAACTTAGGTTAATTTCAAACACTAAGTTATATCTGGACGTAAATATAGACAGAGCTTCCTCTTGACTTCACTGGGAGCAGAGCGAGGCCAACACTGAATCCCACTCAGATTGCGTGTGTGTGTGTATAACACATGTGGTTATAGTTTACAGCCTGATTCTACAATTTTTATTCAAGCAAAATCCCTCTGGCTACAATGCGTGCTCTGCATAAGGACTGCCTTGATTTTATTTTATTTTATTTTAATACCTTACAAACTTCGGTAAGGCAGGGACTTCCTTATTATGCGTTTGTCCAGCACACAGAACAATGGGATTCTGAACCTAGCTGGGCCTCCAGATGCTACCACAATGCAAATAATAATATAATCATGACAGTAAAACAGCTCTGAGCTGGATGTGAACTGCATACACAGTTAGGTGTAGTTACTGAAGTGGTGTTATTGACAGAGCTGCAGTGACTCACGCTTATTTACAAGTCTACCTGTAAAACAGGTTAAAGAGTCACCCATGCTTAAAAGGTTGCAGTGCCGAGGAATTCTATTCATTTGGGACAGACATGAGGAGCAGATCCTTTCGATTTGTTTTGGTCTCAGTTCTCAGAACATTTTCAATGTTTTGCCCCATAAATCTGCTACTGTGGATGTGACAAGCCACCTTTTGGAAAGTCATCAGGGTTCAATTTTACCCAACAGCTGACGTTCTCAGACTCAACTCAACTGCACAGCCATTAAGCATTGCCTGGCCTGGCACGGGTCTCTTTCACATGGAGTACATTTGGCTATAGGAATGGGAGGAGATAATGGCAATGAAACTAAGCAAGAGCTGTGTCAGCTTCCCACCCATCACTCTGCCAATGCACCTCAATCCTCTGCATCCCACTGCTCTTGCAGTCCTGCCCCCGCCCCCAACGCATTTCAATCCTGACCTGCAGCTCCCTTTGCTATTCCAGTCCTGGACTCCCCCCACACACACACACACACGCACAGTGCTCTGCCAGTGATCTCACTTCTGTCCTGCAGCCCCCTGGTATTCCAGTCTTGGGCACGTGACAGAGACACACACAAACACGCTCCACCAGTGCACCTCAGTCCTGGTCTGAGCAAAGACTTGGCCGGTGTTGCCACAGATTTGAAACCAAGTCCCCAGAGATTAAACCTTGACCGGCCCATGTACCTCTCCCTCTCCACTTTTTAAAGGAACCTGACAGGATTCAAGAATTATAATCAAAACAGAAAGGAATTTAAAAGAGACACATTAAACCCGAGTTTGTAATAGAGACCTTGTTACCTGAATTGAGTCTCAGCGACTGCCTACGCCCCTCGCTGCCCCTGCGCCGACGAGGGTCCGGTGGGTCGCTGCTGTTCCCAGAGGCCATGGTGGAGGGGAGCTTGGGGAGAGGGGATCAGGTTTACCCTGCAGAGGGAGAAACAACGGTAGGCAGGGTGAACCGGATTGCTCAGTGAAGGGCTCTGGGGAGCTGCAAGCTGTGACCAGTCTGGTGATGCTAGAGGAGACAACTGAAGACTCAAGGTCTGTTCTTTGGCCTTGGATCCTTACACACCTCGAGGGACAGTCTTAGGCCCCAAGATAATTCTTCTATAGTTCACCTAGAGTTTCTCCTCTGAGCACTTGGCCTCCCGCCTTCCTATCTCTGCACATCTGACAGCCTCCTGGCTCCTCCCCACCCTATCCACTCTCAAAAATCCCCACCCACACCAAGGTTCCTCGATCTCTCTGGCTGGATAGCATTAGTTCCCTCAAATACATCCTCAGGCTCCTCCTTCATCTACAGGATCACGCCCACGCCCACAAGTCTGGCAGCTCTCCCTCCCTGGCCTTGTCGCATGAGGGAAATTTATCATGCTCAAGACAATGAGGTTCCCCTAGCACTCTTGTGAAGCACCTCACGACCACACAAAAAGGTGCTCCTCCACGGGCTGCATGCTCATCTGACACCATCTGGACTGAACTTGCCTTCAGCGAGGCTAGTTACCATTCCAGTCTGTACCATTTAGTCCCAGTGTGGATGGACGTCACTGGCGTCATCCCACAACTGGTTCCAACAGTCCTACTTCTAGCGCACTGGTGACCTTTCAAAATCTGCTGCAATCCATTGCTTTCGGGGAGCTGTGTCACAGAAACTGGGGGACAGTTTCCCAGAAGGCACTGCAACCGCAACGATTGAGAGCGATGCGGGAGCGCAGATGCAGGGCAAGCTCTTAAAATGGTTCCGCCCAACCAGCTCGGATGCACTGAACTGGTTCAGTGCCCTAGTGTAGACATGGCCATTGTATCCCCAGGAGAGGTTGGAGCTGTTTTCACCTCTCAGGTGCACTATGTACCCAAACAGTGTGCCTATCCTCGGTCTTATTAGTTTCCCATTTCTCTTTATTCTGGAGCTACTATTTCCTCCTGTTCATCATCTCACAGATCCCCTTAAAAAAATAACTACAATTAAAAATTCATTAGAACCCAAATCCCTGAACGCCCAGTCATCCCAAACCCAGGCCTAAATTTTACAGCGAGTGCAAATCTCTACTCACAATGCTTAGCATGTATACAGCTCATTATCGACACTTTATGAACCTGCCTGCCAGGTGGGTATTCACTCAGCTTTTGCAGTGGGCGAAACTGAGTCACGCAGAGGGCTTGCCTGCAGTTGCATGGTAAGTCGATTTCAGGGCTGGGAAGAAAACACTGCTAGTTCCTAGTCGCCTGCTCGGTCCACTAGTGCAGGGGTTTCCAAACTGTGGTCCATGTACCACTGGTGGCACGTGAGCTTGTTGGAAGTGGTACATGGTATCAGGGTGGTCTATCCCTGGAAGTACTGGGACTGCGGCCAGCCAACCCCTGTTCCATGACATGGCCCTTTTTAGGAGCAGCAGACTAATTGAGGAAGCGGGGAGGGGGAGGTGTTGATCAGGTGTCTACCTCCTCAACAGGATAAAACCCAGCTGTTAGGTGACCCCCAGGAGGAGAGAGGCACACGGCTTGAAGAGGAGAATTACAGGGGAGCATCAAGTCAGGAGACAGGCTCCCTGGGATGGGTGCTCTAAGGTGCCACAAGTACTCCTTTTCTTTTTGCGAATACAGACTAACACGGCTGTTACTCTAGAACCAGAACAGAGACTAGTGGGCTGGGGGAGCCTGCCCGAGTCACAGCCCACCCCAAGGAGGCAGGTTGTGGAATTCCCTAACCAAGAGGAAAGAGTTGTGAGTCCACAACAGAAGGCCTGTCAGAAAGATTCTTCTAAGAGGCCAGGGTCTTTAGTGGGACCGGCAAAGCTCCCTGGGCAGGGAGCTGGGAGCCTTCCCAAGATTCCCCCACCTCCCTAGCTCCCCTTTGAGGCTTTGTCTACATTGGCACTTTGTCGGCAAAACTTTTGTTGTTCGGGGTGTTAAAACACACACACACACACACCCGAGCGACAAAAGTTTTAGTGACGAAAAGTGTCCTTCTTCGTTGGCAAGAGCGCTCTCCTGCCGACAACGCCGCTGCTGCTCAGGTTGGGGGGGGAGTCTTTTGTCAGCAGGAGAGCTCTCTCCGGCTGACCAACAGCAGCTACACTGCAAGTGCCGCTAAAAGCCTCATAGTGTAGCCATAGCCTAAGCCTTCCCTGCCCATTTATTTACTTACACACACACACACTCTCCCCCACCCCCCCTCACCTGACCCTAACCTCATTAGACCTGGGCAGAAAGTGGGTTTTTTTCCATCTTTCCAGGATTTCAGAACTTTCCCCCAGACAAACTGAACTTGTTTTCAAAATAATAAATACAGTAAATAAATAAAAGTGACTCACCTGCCCTAAAACAGCCAAGAGCACAGTGGTTAGGGCACGATGGGTCACGGGCAATCCTAGTTCAAGTTTATGATTCCCCCCCTCCATCCTCCTCCCACCCCCGCTCCTACCCCGCCCCTAATTTTATCAGAAATTCCATCCTGGACCTAGAAACCTGTTCGTTGCTGTGACAAGTCTTGGGTCTGACACATTTTCCTTGGAAAACGTCACAGCATTTCAGTGAAAAACTCCCAACCTGCTCTAAACCTCATGTCCTCTAACCCTCCCAAACGGACTCCCCTAGCCAAACTCCCTTCTCTTCTAATTCCCCCAGGCAGATCTCCACCAGCCACATACAAAACTCATTTGTCTCTAAATATCTTAATTAACGCTATTAAGACCTAAACCAAGAGGGCACCAAAAGGATTAAATGTGCACGGGGTACTTCAAACATCAGTTCTTCACGAAGGTGTCATTTGAACAATAAAGTTTGTGAACTACAGCACTAGTACACACTTCTGGACCAGATTCTCAGTGGCTGTAAATCAGGGTTGCAGTGTCTTCAATGGAGCTACTCTACTGTATTTTCCACTCCATGCATCTGATGAAGTGGGTTATAGCCCATGAAAGCTTATGTCCAAATAAATTTGTTAGCCTCTAAGGTGCCACAAGGACTCCTCATTGTTGAGGTGTACAGTAGCTGAAGATAAACATTTGGGAAGGCAGTGTGGCCTAGTGTAAGTTGTACCTCAATTAATAATATATGGGTTATTTCCATCTGGTATTGGTTAGCCATGTTAAATTAGTTTTGGGTGGAGCCCTTAAAGGGGTTGGATAAGTAGCTAGTCCAGGGCTATCCCTGTTTTCCAAGCCTTAGAGCATATTGTCTCCAGAGGCAGAAGTTCAACAACAGAGGTGTGAAATACAGTCCATCATTCACCACAACGAAGTGACAATGGTGCTGGGAGGGGAAGAGACCTAAAAGAATGCACAGCTTACTTATCAACAGGGCTTAGGAAATTGCTGAATGCTCATTTGCATCTCAATGCTCAGAAGACAATGCCAGCTGACAGGTACTCCTTGCTAGGTGTCTTGGGAACAAACCGGAGGTTTGGACTGTGCCTGGAGGGTGACTTGTTTCAGAGTAGCAGCCCTGTTAGTCTGTATTCGCAAAAAGAAAAGGAGGACTTGTGGCACCTTAGAGACTAACAAATGTATTTGAGCATAAGCTTTCGTGAGAGTCTTTCCTGTATGCTATCCCCTCTTTTCTCCTCCCTCCTCCGACTTCAAATGTGCCCTGCGAGGGTGGTTCGATTGTGACCCACGGGTTCCTCTTGCAGCACTTCTCCAAGAGGGCTAGGGAGAAGGGAAAGGCTGTGTAGGGGTTGGAAGGATTAAAGCTGGGGTTCAGAGTACAGCATGGGAGGAGGGCTGGCCTCATCACCCCCTCACGAGGGCTAGACTCCCTAATCCTCTGCCATCTGGCTGCAATCCTGAGAGACTAACCTCCCCCTGCTGGTTTCTGCTCTGGAGCTTGGGTGGAGATGAAGCAGGTTGCCTTCGAATTTAGAGTCCCCATCTTCTGAGTGAGGAAAACCCTCAGTGACCTCCCTCACGCCCCAGCCAGTTCTACAAAGGTTTATACGGTGCTTTTATTGTGCTTTTTCATGTGAAGGGCTCAAAGTGTTTCACAAGGGCACGTGAGAATCATTATCCCCCTTTTATAGATGTTGAAGCTTAGGCACAGAGACGGAAGTGATTTGCCCAAGGTTACAGGGTCTGGCAGAATGAGGAATAGAAGCCAGCAGTCCTGACTCCCTGGCTCTAGTCTAGACTAGCAGTTCCCAACCAGGGGTACTTGTACCCCTGGAGGTACTCAGAGGTCTTCCGGGGGCACATCAACTCATCGAGCTATTTGCCTAGTTTTACAACAGGCTACATAAAAAGCCCGAAGAAAGTCAGTACAAAGGAAAATTTCATACAGGCAACGAGTTGTTTATCCTGCTCTATACACTGAAATATAAATACAATATTTATATTCCAAATGGTTTATTTTATAATGATATGGTAAACATGAGAAAGTCAGCAATGTTTCAGTACTAATGTGCTGTGACACTTTTGTGTGTTTATGTCTGATTTTGTAAGCAAGTCGTTTTTAAGTGAGGTGAAACTTGTGGGTACGCAAGACAAATCAGACTCCTGAAAGGCGTACAATCGCCTGGAAAGGTTGAGAGCCACTAGTCTAGACCTCGCTCCTTCCCCTCCTGGAAAAGGGCAGGAAGGAGAACTTCCTGCGTGGCTCTCAGTTAACATTGCTCCCTGAATGGGTAACTTGTTTCACCTCTCCAGACTGAGTTAGCTTAGGGCAGGTCTACTCTTAAAACGCTGCACTGATGCAGCTGCGCCGCTGTAGAGCTTGAATGAAGCTGCGCTATGCCGACGGGAGAGAGCTCTGCCGTTGGTGTAGTTAATCCACCTCTGTGAGAGGCGCTAGCTGTGTAGGCAGGAGACGATCTGCCACCGACATCGCACTGTCTTCGCTGCCGCGTAGGTGGGGATAACGGCGTCGCTCAGGGGCTGTGGATTTTTCACACCCCTGAGTGATGTAGTGATACCGAAGTAATTCCGTAG